TCCCCATCATATGAGACGTACGAAACACTGACGTCTGTGTATGGAAAGCCGTTTCGAGGTACTCAAGGAGCTCTGGTGGTGCAGTGGTGAAGGTACTCGGCCACTAACCAAAAGGTCAGCAGTTCGAACCCACCAGCAGCAGGAAAAAGATGAGTCAGTCAGCTTCCACGAAGATTCACAGCCTTAGAAGCTCAGGAGGACAATTCTACTCTGTTCTGGAGTCACTATGAGTCAGAACCAACTCGGCAGTGGGTTTGGTGGTTTGGTTTGAAGGGTTCTCTGTGTGCAATGTAAAAGCAGTCCTATGTACGCTGAACGCTGGCAACAGTCTTGCTTCTTGCTCTTTGCCCAAGCATAAAGATCGGCAGGACCTGACCAACATGGATCACACTGCACTGGGCTCTGTATCCTGTCTAACCAGCCCCAAAGGTAAAGCCAAAACCAAAAAAGCCAAACCCATGGCCACTGAGTCAACTCTGACCCACACTAAACCTACAGGACAAGGAGAACTGCCTCGGGGTGTCAAAGGCTGCAGTCTTAACTTTGTACTGTGAATTGGGTGAAAGTTGACAAACCAAATTGGTTTTCCATTCGACAATTCATACACATTTTGTTTGATGACACTGCTTGCGATCCCCACAACGTAACAGCTCTCTTCTCACTTCCTCCCTGTGTTTCCTGTTCCCATTTATCCTCCATTCCACCCCTTCCTGCCTTTGAGCTTTGCCAAGGCGGTACCTGTGATGGAAGCAGGCTGCCACATCTTTTTCCCACAGAGCAGCTGGTGGCTTCGGTTAGTAGTGAAGCGTTTGACCGCTGTGTCACCAGGGCTCCTACGGTAAAGCCGAGCTCCCACAGTACCAGGAGAACAATGACCAACCCCAGCTCCTTGCCAGCCTGGTTTCCTGGGGCTCGTCAAGTCACCTGAGTTCCCTGAGACAACCGAAACCCAGGGTTCTCACCATGAGCAGCTGGCACTGTGAGCTGAGCAACGCTTCGCTGTGAGACTACCCCGTGCACTGTGGGGCACTTAGCAGCATCCCTAGCCTCCACCCAACAGGTGCCGGTGGCAACTTCCTCCATCGCTATGGCAACCAAAAAAAAAAAACCCCGGTTCAAATCTTGCCAAACGTCCTCTGGGGGCAAAATCACCTGCACCTGAGAATCAATGACCCAGACCAAAGGCCCAACAACAGACAGTCAGCTGAGATTTAATTAAAATGCAGAGTTTGATTCAGCAGATCTGAGATGGGGCTGAGGTTCTGCATTTCATAAAAGGTATCATTGTAAGGACCAATTTTTTCCCAATGGTTCTTAAAACTCTGCGTGTATTACTCTCAAGAATCACATCTTTAAAGTTTGTGTATCTCATACCAAATTATTTTTGAGTAAAAATGACATGATATCTGGATTTGCTTTGAAATACCCAGCTCAGTAGGCCAGTGGGATACAGAAGAGAC